TTTTATGGGAAAAACTAAATGGACTTTTTGGCCATCCCAATAGATAAATAAAAGTGTAAGAGAGTGGCTGTCATTTATAGGTGCCAGCCACTGTGTGAACACCTGACACCGTACCGGCTGAGCAAGCCCACACACTAGTCTGCCCAGAACGTCCCCATTTCAGCACTGAAACTCTCATGTCCCATGAAACCCCTCGGGCCTGGGCAGGCCGGGCCAGCTGGTCGCCCTGCATCTTGACCTCAGTCGATCTTCAAAGCACTCGTATGCGGTAGGTGCTGCAGTGTCCCCATTTCAGAAGGGAGCAACCCGAGGCATAGAGGGGGTCGGCGCACCGGCCAGAACGGCCAGGCTCGAATGCAGCGGGCCGGCAGGCAACCCTGCCTGTGCCCACAGGCTGCTCCCGGAGCCCGCTTCCTCGCTGCGCTGCTCTGGGCCCTGAGACCACAGCCCCTGGAGGTCCTCTCATCTCTCTTGTGTTCTGGGGACAAAGCTGGTGTAAGGACTTCGCACCGAAAGAGCCTGATTAGAATTTCCTGGCAACTTAAGAAACCAGTTTCAGAAGAAATTGATTGTATCCCTTTCAGTAGCAACAGGAAATTAGAGCCACATTGAGTTCTCTGAGGCTTTGGATGTTGTTTGGGGCATCTGAGGCCACGGGGCTTGAGGGGTGAAACCAGAGCGGCAGACTCCGCCCTCGGAAGAGCAGTGTTTCAGGAGAACGGTATGTGCCCGGCAGCTGCTCTGGGGGGCACGGCCACGCTGGGGCCCAGAGGAGCGGGAAAGGCGGCAGGGGTCCTGGCCGGCCACGCAGCCACGTGGCTGGGTCGCTGTTTCTCAGTAATGAACTCCGAGCAGAAGGGACGTGCTGGGGTGCGTCTGTCGTTCCATTGGGAAAATAATTTACAATGCAGCGAAAGCTAGGTTTTTAGGAATGAAGTCATTTCTGCTTATTGAGTTTTATAGAACAGGGACGGACCTCTTGAGATTGTTGGTCTTGAAAGTTCTGATTTCTTTGGAATAAGCCAACAGAGAGGGGACACGTTCACCACACAGGTAAACACTTTCTGCTGAAATCACGGCCTCTTACGCAGCTAGAATGCGGACTTCATTCCGAGGTACTGTGGTGGTCATTTATCAAGTGGTACATTTATAGTGCATTTTAAGCCTACGTTTATTGTTTTCCCTGATTATGAAATAACTTGTAGAAACAAAGAATCCCTACAGTGAAATATAACGTGAAGACCCTGAAATCCCAGTCATATAATTGCCTTGGGCATTTTTTAAAACATTACCCTTTCATTCTTTTTCTCTGCAATACAATACATTATGGCTATTCACATTGCAGAGTTTGGGACTGTCATTAAAATCATGTCCTAAATAAAAATTCTCTGACTTGGAAGCTGCCCCCTGGTAAAAGGCAGGCATCTGGTGCCCTCTTGTGACCACTTTCCCCTCTTAACTTTAGCAAGCATGTTCCTCGCCACTCGATACTCTTCTAGAAGATGGTTTGTATTGGCAGCATAGGACTTTATAATATGGGTAGGATTTAGTTTGCTCATCCCATTTCTTATATTTTCAATGGTTCAAATTAAAGAACGCCCCATAGATTTTTGTGTGAGTTTTTTAAATTTTTGTTCTTTAATGACGTGGAAGATGGCCACACCTGATATTCCAGCAACTTACCTCCCAGGGGGACGCTCTGCGGACACCTGCGCAGGGAGTCCCGAGGGCGTGTGCGAGCACAGCCGGAACCTCGCCGTTCATCCCCCCCCCCCCCCCCCCCGAACCCAGGGCGCCCGTTACACACCAGACAGACCAGCAGATCGGCGCAGCCACGCACAACACAGCCTGTGCTTCAGGGAAGATGAGCGGAGGCTGCTCTCTGCGCATGCCGCTCACAGCCCCTTAGGTCAAGGCAGGAAGGAAGGTGCAGGCTAGGAGTCCACGCAGACAGACCTCAGACACGGACAGCACTAACCTGGATCCATCGGAGAGGCAAACACAGGTGGCGACTTTTCAAGAAAAGAAAACCGTATCATCACATAGGACAGGGCAGTTGTTGCTTCTGGAAGCGGGGCGGGGAACGGCTTCCGCGCGCAATGACCTATTCCTTGCCCTGGGGGGTGTAACACGTGGATGGTCTTTTATAGAACATGTGCATGCAATAATAATTATAATGTCGTGTGTGTGCGGTGTATTTCAAAAGGAATAAGAAAACTGAAGTACTGAGGAGTTCACCCAGAAATATAGCACAGGACGCCAAGCGCTTTTGGGAGGCCTCGATCTACACATATGAAAAATTCAAAAAGAAACAAATAGGGGTTCGTGGGGAACCTGTGAGGAAATAACAGCCAGGAAACTTCTAGACCTTAAAAACTATTTTTTCAGACCACGTAGTGAGCAGTGCACACAAACCCAGACCCAAATGTGGGCCCGTCAGAGTGAACCTGCAGAACGTGGAGGGTGCATAGTAGGTCCGGACGCCAACCAGCGACAGCAGACAGACTGCGGACAAGGGAACAGCGACGCTGCCGCTGCCGCTGCCGCAAACCTCGCTGGGAGCCGAGGGGACTCGGGGCAGTGACCCGCACAGCACGAACGGCAGCACCTGCTCATCTAGAACGTTCTGCCTCGCTCACTGTCGGCCAGAGGAGGGCCGGTGTAACGACAGACACTTCCTGCCCATTGGCCTGAAGGGCCCAGGGCCGAGCCAGCGCGTCCGACCCCTCCAGAGGCCGCGCGCCTCCCCGCGCTCACCGTGAAGCGTGGCCTGCCCGGAAACGTGCCCCCCGACCGTGTCCGTTCGCTGGCCTGGTTTCTCCTCGTTCCTCCCCCGGCTCCTCCTGGGCCCGCGCCTCCCAAGCCAAGCGTGGGCTCCGCACCTGGTCTCCGGCAGCGTTTTGCAGGAAAGCCCCCTGCGGGCGAGCTCTGTTGTGGTTCTCGTCGGCCCGCCGGCTGGAGGTTGACCTTGGCCGTCCAGAGTCGCGCTCTGCTTCCCTGGGGGGTTCACAGGGAGATGGGATTTGTTCTCGGGGCCTCCGAGGTCACCTTGGGCCGGCTGTGCCCCTCCCCCCAATAGAAGTCGCCGCTGGTGGTCTCCGGTATGGGGAGAATGTCTCTTTGGTTTCTGTGACTGACTGCCTCCTGCCGGCCCTTGGGACCCGGGAGGCGTGGCCACGTCGCGCTGCTCCGCGCCTCCCCTCCGCCCTGCCCTTTGCGAGTAACCCCTTTGCTCACAGAGTATTGCAGTCGGAGTTCCTGCAGTCTGAGAGGGCCACCTGCTTCCCGCGGGGACCGGCGGGGGAAGCCAGGGCTAAGGGGTGACGCGCTGTGCCTGTGTCGTCGGGATGGCGCGTAGCCTGTGCACTGCAGTCGATGCTCGGGGGCAAAGCAAGGGCTCTTCTTTTTTAATCACTTAAGACGTCAAGCAGTCAGGTTCTGGCAGGAAACAGAACTCTAGCACCTGGAAGGGACTGCCACGAAGGGCTCGTTCACCGAGGGCGGCCAAGTAAAGGCCATGGCCGGGGGGTGCGGCGTAAGAAAGGGCAGGGAGCCGCCGGGGGACAAAACCCCAGCTGCCGGAGGGGCGGACAAAGGAGGAAACAGCGTGAGGATGGGGGAGCCGCCGCGAGCAGCGAGCCGAGGCCGGGGCCGGGCCCTGCCACAGCCTGGCCCCACAGCCCCCATCCGTCCCCCTCCAGACTCCGGTCTGCCGTCCGCGCCTCCGCTGGCCAAACCCCATGGGAAACTGGAAGGGGGTGCCGAGGGGTCAGCCTGCCGGGCTCCGGGGGAGGCTGGGCCGGGCCGGCAGGGGCGGCTGGGGGACGGACAAATGCCGGGACCATCCAGAGAGCAAACTCCGGGCAAGTATAATCCTCCCTTTGTGAAAGCCATACAAGTGTTTATGTATGAGAGACAACTGAACTAGACATTGAAAGCAGCAGCCTCGTGGTAGCAGGGGAAAAAATGGCTTACATTTTCCATAGTGTTTGGTATATTTCCCACGTCAAAAAAAAAGGCTGTGCATTACTTTAACTTAGAAAAAAACAAATGCTAATTGGACGAGGCACTTGTTTCCCTTTTCATGCCTTAAAGGAAATACTCTCGGTGGCCCCCAGCGGCCAGGATTTCGCTCTGGCCTTTCTCACAAGCAGGATGCCAGGGAGGTCAAGGCCCGGCGGGAGGCGGGGTGTGCGTGTGTCCGCCCTCATCGCCGGGAAGGAATCATCCCCCGCGGGCACTGCGGCTCCCGCCCTGCCAGCCCGCGCAATCCCACGGGTGACGGCTGGTGCCGTCGTGAGGCGAGGCCCTGGCAGCCCCTCTGCCGGACGGTGTCCAGGGCCGCGCTGGAGGCGGGCCCCGGAGCAAAGGCGGCCGCCGGCTGCACGCCCCGAGCTGCGCCGCCCTCGCAGTCCTGTCCCGCCGAGCCCGCCGCCGTCTCCCGGCTGCGCCGCTTCGCAGCCCCGCCGTCAGAGCCCTGTGACTCCTTCCTCTCCCGCTGCTCCTCTCTCCTGCCGCACAAGACTCCCCGGGAGGAGCAGGACGGGGTCGCCCGCAGCTCCTCTCTCCCCTGCCCCGCCCCCGCCTTCTATTCTCGGCACGGTGCTCGGTGCTCGGCTCTCAGGGGGCGCGGGTCAATATTTAGTATGTACGGAAGGGGACGGAGGAGACAGGTCTTTGGAATGTCACCGACCAGTTGTCGAAGGCAACATTCCAAAAGCAGGCACTTAGCTCCCACCCATGTCTCGGCCAAAGCCCCGCGGGGGCGAAAAGCTGCCCCGAGCCCAGCGGCTGCAGGAACCCAGGCCGGGCGGCCTGGCCTCGGCACCTGCCGGCTGCAGGCTGCTTAGCGCCGAGGATCGTGCGGAGGGCGGGCGCCGCGCGGGGGCTGTCTTCTGGGATCTCCAATTCCAGGCAGCACCTGGAGAGCATGGGTTAAGACTCTGTAACGTCAGGAACTGTGCTTTTCAAAGTTGGTTCCTATACTTGACCTTCTAAGAGTATGAGTTAGCACATACCAATATTTCATACACATCCACAGAACATGTGCTGTTTTTTAAAAAACTGCAGATAAGTCCGTTTAAAAAAAGAATAAGATGCACATACAGTACTTTTAAACATAACGTTTATATCTGATGTGTCATGTGAGTTTAAGGCAGTAACAGCTGTCGTGAAGCAAAGCACATTTCAGACCCAGTGTCCAAGCCCTGTGTTTTGACCTTCAGTCTGTATTTCCAAAGCTCCGCGGCAACGCAAACCCACCGACAGGGAAGCGTCTCGGCCGCAGGGGCCGCCGCTCTTTCTAGCAACGCAAAGGCTTTCCGTAAAGTGGACAAGTGCTCCTAAGTCAGCGTGGCTCCCTGCCCCCCGCCTGCCAAAGGCAGCTTCTCCGGCCTCGCTGGAGTGACGAAGGAAAAAACCCCGAGTCCCCGCTGGTAGCAAACCAGTCCCCCCAACCGCCGGCGTCTCGGGTGTAAAGAGAGCATCTCTGGGAGCGCCGGGGAATACTGAACAAGAACCCTCTCGGAGGAAGGGGACCAGGACAAGCTCAGCACCCCAGGGACCACGCCTGCATCTTTCACCTGCATGAGACCCGTTTCCAGCGTGGGCCCCACGGACACTCCACGGCATCTTCGCTGGCGGAACTGGGGTCGCCGCGCGCTCGGGGAGCGTCGCCACCGAGCAGTCACTGGCTCCCCGCCGGGCCCTTCTCTTCCACCACCAGGATGCCGTCGTGGCAGAGGACGGCCGACAGGTCTCCGGTGCCGAGGCCGTCGGGCAGCCGGTACTGCCGGGTGAAGCTCCTGGAGACGAAGCCGTGCTCGTCCATCCGGACGCCATGCTGCGCCTTCACCAGCAGCCAGCCGTCGAAGGTCTGGATGAGGATGTCCTCGGGGAGGAACTGCACCACGTCCAGCAGGACCTGGAAGCGCGCCCTGCCGGCCGGGGCTGGCGCCTCGTCCCCCGCCGGAGCCCGGGCCGCCCCGGCTCTGCCCAGGTCCACGGTGGCGGGCCCGGGCAGCGCGTACAGAGCGTGGTCCAGCCTGCAGTCCTGCAGGCCCCGCGCCTCGAACTGCTCCTGGTAGCGCACCGGCGTCTCGATGGGGTGCCTGAGGATGGCCTGCGCCATGGTGGGGAGAGCGGCAGCGCGGGCGGCGTCCCTGAGGCCCTGTCCCCCGGGCGGGCTGCCCTGCCGGCGCCCTCTGGCCAGCAGCAGCTGATCGGCTGGAGCCGCTACTGGGTTATAACCCTGTGCAGGCGCGGCCACTTGGTTAGGCCCGAAAACACGCCACACCCTCAGCCTTGTCTAGCCACACCCGCTGACAGCGAAGGGCTATTTATAGGGCACTTTCGGGCTCACGTTTGCTTAGCTCGCGGCCTGGCCGAGCCGCCCTCCTGTCCCCGCTCTCCCCGCGATGGGACTGCGGAGCTCATCTCCGGAGAGAAAGAGTCAGAACCAGGAGCAGTTGTTGACAAATGTGAAAGTGCCGTCCTTGTGAGGGGGCGTGGCCAGAGGCGCCAGGACTTCCCAGAGCAGCCCAGACAGGAGGGATCGCCTGCCAATAGGAGCGGAGGCCGCGTGGACCCGTCTCCACGGGCAAGGCTGGCAGAGGAGGTCCCGCCGACACCGGTGGGGGATTAAGTTTCTCACACACGCCCAGACCTCAGACCTGTGACCAACCCCCAGCCGGTGGTCCTGGGTCTTCTCTTTTATCTCCTCTTTTAATCCTTTGTCAGCAAGGGATGTTGGAGCCACACCCTCTGGGCTTATCCCGTGGACTCGTGAAAAATGGATGGAATGACTCAGCCAGGGGAGTGGCAAAGCTCAGGGAGGGCGGGCGTAGAACGGGGACCCAGTGATGAAAATAGAGCCACTGGGGAGAGAAAAATGTGAAAGCTTTGAACTATCCCATACGAAAGCCCAGGGATCCAGGATGGATCTAGTCAGAGCTCTGCTACGGAACCAGCAAAGATAAATCACATGCAATTCTCTACTCTAACGTCCTTTGAAAGGGTGAAGCAAGTCTGTATCCACGGCCGTGGAAGGCTCTCCAGGGCACGTTGAGTAGAAAGTCCAGGACAGCGTTAATGCGCTAGGGTTTTATAAGTAGGTGTTCGTGTCTATAAATAGGACGTCTCTGGAGCCGTCCACCCGGCGCAGCAGCTGCTGCCTGGGCGGGGGAGGGGGAGTGGGGCCGGGTCGGGGCTCAGCCTTCCCTGTGAATAATCTGTGCTTTTTATTGTACGGTGTGTGTGTGATACACAAATACACAAGAAGCTTTTGTGTATAGAAAGCATCCTTTCTGTGGGGCCAGTATTTTCCAGGATGGGTAGACGAGGGAACACGGTTCCTTTGTGACTGTATCCATTTTCTCAGAATGAAAGAAAAATGCCTATAAGAAATTTAAGCCTGGGAAGCCAGGCGGGAACAATGTCCTTCCGCTCCCCTTCCCTTCCCTCAAGTTCCCTGCGCACATTTGCTACACACTCAGGCACGTGCCCTAACAAGGCTGTTCACACTCCGCTTTTGTGACCCGCGCTTGATTGGTTGGCGGCCCTCCGGGAAAACTGTGCCCTTTTCCATGTTGTAGTGCCCCCGGCTCATAGCCTACGGCGAGACGTGCCCACTGCGCGCTCTGCGCGGTGAGCCAAGGGCAGGACTCCCTGTCGCCAGGGCCCCCCCCGCAGAGCACGTGCCTTTGTCACCCCTGCTGCTCCTGCGTTGGCACGTCGCCATCGCCCGGACCCCAGAGACCACGTTAGGTCCCCCTGGGCGGCGGGCGCTCTGCGGGTTGAGAGCAGGGGCCGGGCCGCGGGTCCGCCCCCGCGGCGTCGCACAGAGGCGTCCGCCGCCCTAAACCCTCAGGGCTCGGCCTCCCCCCGCCCCGCCCCCCGTCCCTGCTCAGAGAAGAGAGCTGCTCTGAAAAATAAGTCTATTTAAGGAACCAAACCTACAACGGCTCTACAAAGTAAACTTTGTTTTGAAAAAAGAGGAAAGGCCCCGCTAGGCGGGCCGAGCGAGGCCAGGGTGAGTCCGGCCGTCCCTTGCCCCCGGGCCCTCGGAGGGGGACACGGTGCGGAGCTGCCCAGGCTGTGGAGGAGCGTCCTGTCGGCAACGCCTGAGCTGTCACTTCCGCCCTTGTCCCTCAACCGCCCTCTGCCCGACCCTACGCCCGACCTGCCGCCCGCTCCTCACCGCCTGCACCCCGCGTCCTGTCGGAGGGGCCGCCTGGCTCCCTGGCCGGCCTCCCGGCCCACGCCGCCCCGTCCCCCTGCCCAGGGAGCCAGCGGCGGCTCGGGAAGCTGCTGGGGACCCCTTCAGCCTCTGGCCGTGGGATCCCAGCAGCAGCTGCCTGCAGCCGGAGGGAGATCCCAGGTCCCTCCGTGGCCCTCAGGGGCCGCCGCTGGGCAGCGCTCCTCCCGGCCTCTCGTCCCCGACCCTGCGGGTCGGCGAGCCGCCCCCGCTGTCCTCGAATGTCCCGCTGGTTCCTCCTCGGGCCCCTCGCTCTCGGGACCCTCTGAGAGCCCCCCTCAGCCTGTGTGCGGCCTCCTCCCCTGCCACTGGGGCCTCCGGGCAGGCGGCGCGTGGTCAGGCAGGCTCCCGACACCCGGCGCGTCGGCCCCGTCCCTCGGCCCCCGCCCTGTGTTCTCTCCGTCATCCCGTCGGCACCTGACCCTCTCTCCCTGACGGGCTGACACTCCCGTTGGGGAAAGGCAGAGGCTGGCTCTCTGAGGTCAGGCACCGGGGGTTCCCTGCGTGTCCCCGGCACCGCAGGCGGCTCCCGGACAACGATACGCGTGCTGGAGTCTGTTGAAGGGAAAAAGCCAAACGGCAACGAACTGTGTGGTTTTAACTCCGGCTGCCCCCGCCGCCCCCGCCGTGCCCTGTGGACCTCGGCCAGCGCCCCCCCCACCCCGGTTCTCCGAGGCAGAGGCCTCTCCAGGCCTCTCCAGGCCTCCTGACCCAACCCGGGGGGCCCCTCTCCAGGTGAGGCGGCTCCGGGGCCACCTGCACACTCACAGAGGAGGCTGCGGCGGCAGGGACACCTGCTCCGCTCCCCGACCTGCGGTCTGTCCCTGCCCTCCCCTCTGCTGGGCCCTTGTGCACCAGGCACCCCTCGCCGCTCCGCAGCCCCTGCAGCCACCCTCCCCTCCCTCACCCAAAGGCAAGTGGGCCCCGTCCTTTTAAAACAAAACCAAAATCCTAAACCTCACGTTGCTCTCCAGCTGGCAATTCCCACCCGCCCCGCCCCTCGCGGCCCAAGTCCTTGATTGGCCGCCTGAGTCCAGGGCGGCGCTGCCCGCCGCTGCGGCAGGGCCTCTCCCTCGGTCCGCTCGGCGCCGGCCTGGTCGCCAAAGGTGCGCTTCAGCCGGGACTCCCTCCACCTGCCCGCCTTTGTCGGGGCCTCTCGCCAGGGCCCGACGCGGACTCCTTTCTTCTCACCTCCCTCCGGGACGCAATGAACAGACATCGCGTCTCGGTGGCAGGGAAATTTCGTGGTGGGGGAGGAGGAGAAATTGGGTAAACAATGTCTTCAGTGCCTCCCGGGGGTGGGGAGATGGTGCGACAGTTTAAAAGGTGGGACACGCTGTTCTCGTCCGCCCTGCGGTTGCTCCTGCAGCCCCCACGGCTCAGGCGCTTGTTTCAGGGATTCCAGCACCTTCCGGGCCCACACAGACTTCAGATCTGCCGGAGTTAGGGAGCTTGAGAGGTTATCCTGGGTTAGCTGGACAGGCCCCAGGTGCAGTCACAAGAGTGTCCTTATAATAACAGAGAGGCCCACCGAGGGGCAGCGACGTGAAGATGGAGCCGAGGGGGACTTGAAGAGCCGGCCTCGAAGGCTGGGGCCATGTGGCCACAAGCCAAGGAGTCCCAGCAGCCCCTAGAAGCCAGAGGAGGCGGGAACGACGCCCCCGACCCCAGGGCCTTCCAGGGGCCCTGCTGACGTCCTGACCGGGGGCCTCCAGAACGGGGAGAAAATGGAAGTCCACTCCCGGTGCCAGCCGGGACGTGTGTAACAACCTGCCACGGCAGCCGCAGGACCACGGGGCGCCCTCACCGCGCGCCGCCGCTCCGTGTCTGTCCTGCCCGTGGGCCCGGCGCTCGCCGTCCCTGCAGAGCGCCCACAGCACCTCGGCTCAGAGCGCGTCGCCCCTGCTTGCTGGGTAGGAGGGTCGCCCGGCCCCCGCGGAGGAAGCCTCTGGGCCCCACGTTAGGCAGGGCCAGTGAGCAGCCGCTAGGAATCCTGGGTGACAGAAAGGCTGTTCCAGACTCCGAACAAGAAGGGCTTTGAAAGATTCTGCGCTGACCTGGTTTCTAAGGGGCCCCCGAAGCCGCAAGCCCACGGCGCGGAAGGGCCGCGGCTAAGATGTCTCCCGATGGAGAGCTGCCACGCTGCCGTTGGGGTCACGTGCCAGGGACGGGGTTCGCGGGGGGCGGCTCTCCGCATGCTCTCTGTGCCTCCCCCCGGTCGGCCCTGCCCCTGCTCCCGAGCCTGTCACGACCAAGGCAGAGGCATCACCCACAGCCTCAGCTCGCTGCCCCAGGGACCCGCTGTGAGCCACCTCCCAGGCCGCCAGGCGGCCACATGGCTGGGCGCCGCCTGTCCTCTCGAGCTCAGACCAGGCTCCCGGTCGAAGCCCTTGCTGCTCTGGGAGCCGGCTCCTCTGTAAAGCTGGCCTTGGCCAAGGTCTCCTCCTCTCTCTGCTGCCTTCCCTGCCAAGCCCCACGGGTCCTCTCGCAGCTGGGACTTCGTGCTGGACCCTGGCGGGTGGCCACAGCCAGGCACCCCTGAGAGCGCCCCTGTTTCCTCCTGCAGACGCGGAGCCCAGCCGCCGTGCCTGCACCTGCAAGCCACACTCCCGCTCGATCGCCTGGCTTCTGGAGGAAGCGAGTCCCCGGCCCCCCCGGCGGGTCCTGGCCTGCTGCGGAGAAAGAGCCTGCAGCAGCGGCCGGGCTTTCGGAGCCCTCAGGGCAGACAGCGAGGGCGTCCGGCTGGCTCCCCACCTCCCCACCTCCTCGTCCTGATGCCGACATCGATTTTCTGAGCCCCCACGAGCGGACCGCCCTCCTGGCCCTGCCATGTCTGTCTCCTTGGGCCCATCTCTCCTCCAGCGGATCCTCCCACACCCATGTGCGCCTCAACTTCTCCACCTCCGCAGTGGGCGCAGCAACACACACTCCTCCCAGGGACCTTGGGAAGATGGGGCTTGATTCTGGCCATAAAGCAGCTTCCCTGTAAGGCGTAGTGTCAAGCGATCCAGCAATGGCGGTGTTTCTGGTGCGCTGTCACACCGTCCGC